TTTACCAATCATGAGTTTGTGTAAAATTTTAAATCTGATGATGGCGCTGTTGTCTCGCCGAAACGTAATGAAATAAACGATGTTTCAAAATTTTTGCTTCACACTCTGACTGAAACCCAGAAAAGATAGGAATATCATAATAATAATTATTTGTAAAATTCTGGAATTTAGACGATGATAAAATATTAACAATGTGTCTTTATTTCTTGTATTAAGGCCATGTACGTCACAGTGTAGTTTAAATTTATGTTTATTTTCGTGGAAAAACTGAACAAAGGTAAGTGTATAAATTGATACTACGGTTAATATAATAAACTTCTGCAGCTTGTGCGAGAGCTAGTTTGACTAATAATTATAATACATTATTTTTGCTTTTTCAAAACAGATTTCAATAGTGGACTTCAATAGTTATCGTACACTATAATGACAGACTGCCTTCTACCGTGAAAAAAGTTGTAGTATACAGTGACTGCAGTTTCCTTGGTACCAACTTCTATTATTAAGTTTTGTTAGATATCCACCCCAAAAATCGTATACTAATTAAAGTTAAAATTATATCAGTTAAAGTTTATTACCACATAACCATTTTTGCATATTCCAATGAACTGTTCATTTTATCTGTGATCAAGGACATTTTTTCCAAGATTAATAATACAGCTGTCGTTCGCAAACAAGCATCCTGTTTCGCTGGTTAAAGCAGCATAAGCTTGTATATATATCACAGATCACAGAGTAACTTCTGTTATCTGTGATATGTATTAGACATACAACAGGACGCAATATGGAACCCTGTAGCACACCACAAGTTAAATCTCTTGCTTGTGATGATTTGTTGTTGCAAAAAACAAACTTTCTATTTCTTAAGTACGACTTTAAGAGGTTCAGCGTTATGCCTTGAACTCCATACACATTTAATTTTGTAAACAGGATGTTGTGGTCTACGCTAGGCCAGAGTAACACCTGTGGTAACACTGTGTTGTGTGGTACTTTTGTGTTGATGCCGCTCTGTGCAGCGGATGATCATCGCATCGGTTCTGTTAATATCCGAACTTCGAATCGCGTATCATAAAACGAATGCAATGTTGCCACAAATTGAACCACTGACAATATTGCCTACACATTGTGGTGTAGATCTACTCTCTAATAGCATGGAGTTGCGAGCGAACGGCAATTCCGGAGATTTCCTCCCGGAACAAGATTTACGGCCCTATCCTGCATATTGGACAAGTCGCTGAATGCTCAAAAAAGTCTAAAGTATTAACCTAAAGGTCACCTGACCTTACGCCCTCACGTAATATGCCCTTTTTGACAGTCAAGTTTAATTGTCCATAACTTCTTTTTTATAAGAGATGCAAAACTCATTTTTTGCACATTGAGACATGACATCTTTGGCTACAAGAAGCTAAAGTTATATTCAAATTGATTGACCTAAATAGGCGGAATTTTTTGGAAAAATGGATATTATTCCACAACGGTTGAAATTTCGTACCCAGTTCATTTAACAAAATGACCTAAAAATCCGGCAGAGAACCCAAAAACTTCCGGTATAACCGGAAGTGGTACCGCCTTGAAAATATTTTCTTTTTTCCTTGTATTGGAATTTTCAGAACTCTGGTAATTTTGGTTTGGCGAATACTTCTAGTGTAAGCTCCCAAAGACGGACCCTGTATAATAAAACCTATAATATTGTATATCACTGGTAATGTTTCTGGAAAGATTACGTTTTATGACTGATTTGTTTTATTTAACATTATTAAACATTTTAGTACAAGTATCAGAGGCGGATTAACCCAGAGTCTAGCAGGGGCTGTGGCCCCGGGCCCCAACCTTAAAAGCGTCCTGCAAACTCTTAATATTCAAATAAATGTTGACCTTTTTGCTGCCCTTCTGTGAGTGTGCTCTCAATCCATTTCCTCCCTCATAAAGCTTTAATCCGCCCTTGGCTCGCTTAATAATATACCATTATTAAACATTTATAGATACCTACATATGTAATTTAACATCGCCCGCTTATAATAGCAAACGGCAAATTGATTGTGCGATTGAGTATACGTACCATCAAGTTCTTGTCTTCCAGTTCTTTGCGCTTCTTTTCCATTTCTGCTCTTAAAATATCCATTTTTGTTTATTTGAATAGAATAGCTAGTAAAAGTTTAACACACTCAATAACAAACAACTAGGTTATGAATCAATGTCAGATGTCAGAAATGCGCTAAACTGAATCATCACAGAACGGCCACAAAGCGGCATCAATATGCTCGAAAAATTAACAAAAAAAGTTTTCGGCAACGCAGAAGTATATGGGCTTCTTGTTTTTCTGTGATCTTAATTAAAATCTTTAAATTAAAAAAAACATATTTTTTTACTTTGGTTGAATGTAGGAAGTGATCGCACTCGAAACAGCGTCAGTTAGTTGACAATTCGGTAAAATCAAAAGTCTAAAAACCAGAACCTTCAACATTTTTGTTCAAATCAAGTTATTTTCGTAACCAAAGCAAAAAACTATTTTTTTATAAAATGTTTTGTAGAGTGGGCCGCGTTTTATCTTAATTTGTCATTGTCAAGTTTGAGTATTATTTCCACTTTTAATTAACTCTTCATTTCGATTCTCATCCAATATGAGTACCTCAAATCCGTCTTACAAGGTATGTTTTTTCAATAGGCTGACATCATTTTTTATTGAATGTTTCTCCAGCCGTCCGAAGGTAAACGAGAAGAGTTCCGTAAGTATCTCGAGAAAAATGGTGTTATGGATGCTCTGACAAGGGTCCTGGTGAATCTCTATGAGGAAGTAGACAAACCTGAAGATGCATTAGAGTATCCTTTTTAAATCATACTTTTCATTTATTGGTTGTATTTATGAACCGAAGTTTTTATGTATTTAAAAGGACACCAACATTTTCATTTCTCGTTCGTCCGAATGTTGAACCCATTATTAATGGTAAAGTGTGAAAGCCTGCATTAGCATGGAAATGGCAGCAATTTTCTAGCTATATCAGCGATAGGTGTTGGAATGTTTGATGACGTACCTAAATCATAAATTAATGGATATAATAATGTTATCATGAATCCGATTGTTACTTTACAAAGTCGAGAAGTAAATTAGCAAATTTCCAATTTAGCGCACGTTAATATTTGTTTAACAGCATAATGGTGACATTCGTTTAGCTTATAAATTTAGCAAGTGGCTTGTTTTGAATAGCTCATATACAGAGTGCATATACAACTTCCATGCAATAATTGAGATTTTGGGCAAATCGATCATGCTCGTTTTGTATCATTTCAGGAGTTATCTGTCGACATTCAAATGTAATCCGTTCTCGTAATCCATCTAAGGAAGCGGGTTGAGTAGCATAGACTTTACTTTTAATATGAGCCCACAGAAAAACGTCCAAAGGGGTAAGATCTGGGGACAAGGGCGGATATCCAGCTTTGGAGTCAGGGGGGTCTAGTAGTAGAAATTCAGTCTTTTGTTGTCTATGAAATTAGAAAAAATATTGTTATAAACCCAGCACAAGGGGGGGTCATGACCCCCCCCTAAATCCGCCTTTGTCCGGGGATCGTGGTGGCCTTTCAATGGCGCCCCTTCGTCTAATCGAGTGGCCAGGAAACGTCTCATGTAAATAATGGCAATCAGTTATTGCGTAATGAGAAGTTGCTCCATCTTGCTGAAACATTTCTTCTTTAGAATATAGATGTTTATTATAATTTTCCATAATCGTTGTTATTGCCGGAACGATTGGCTCTTTTAACACTGTAAGATAACTGTCCCAACTAAGATTTCTAGGTGTAAAAAATGCTCCAAATGATTCTCAAAAATGCCACACCAAACGTTTAATTTTTGGGGACACTGAATATGCGTTTAGCGATAAATGTGTGGATTGTCGGCAGATCAGTAACTGCAATTATCGCGGTTGACAGTGTCGTTTAGGAAAAATGAACATTTATATGCGAAACAAATATTAGCACAAAATTCGGATTATTCACTGCTCTTTCCCTGATTAATTCACATAATTTTAAACGACGATCATGGTCATCTTCATTCAGTTCCTTCAGCAGTCTTATTTTCTAAAAGTGAAAATTATGACTTTTTAGAGTCCTTTGTATATTTTGCCTTCCAATACCAGATACAGCAGCTAATTGTCGAGTGCTTAGTCTAGGATCCATCATGACATGCCCCAAAACTGCCACCTCGGCAACTTCGTTTCTTACTGGTTTTTTAACATACGTTTGTTTATTGGATATAGATCTTGTTGGTCTGAATTTTGCTATCAGCTCCAAGACATAGTTTCTTTGTACGTTTCTATTTTCTCCACCTTTATTAAATTCGCAAAAAATAGCTCGACCATTTTTATTCTCTCTTGTAGTGTATTAACAACCATTTCATTGTTTTTGTTCAACAATCACTAACCGGACTTGAATAACTCAAATAGAAGACTTATTTAAGTTATTCAATATATTTAAGCTTATAGTGTTAACAATGTAACAATTTCTGGAAATTTTTTCATTCTTCCACGTTTTTGAAATACCAGATGATACTGAAATCAGTCAGAAGGGCGCGTGTGGTAGCCAAGGCTAATAGGATGTCGGTGGAATTGCATTTTCTTGTTGAATGAAGACTGTTTGGAGAAATTGCTTTAAAATCTCTATTATCGCATGGAAGTTTAGTCAAGTCATTATTATGCAACTCTTAAAGTAGTTTCCAGTTATTATAGTTACAATAATACGTTCTTCAAATAATTGCAATGCTTTTCTAATAAAACATATAAATGATGGTCGTTTTAGAACCGCTGAAGTAAAATTGGCTTAAACTGAGTATCGCAAAATGTTTCTCCAAAAGTGCAAAAAGCGTTTTCAAAAATTAATATTTTCTAACAATCAACACTTAACAATTTCTTATTATAGTGAGTAATTTAGAAAATGTCTTTACTTTTGCACTAGAAACAAATTTCGTATCAAATAAATTATCTTGAATACTTCATGCTGCATGCACAAGTATTGTTGATTTGTATCTTCTTTGACTATAGTTGTCCAGATATATTCGTGATAAACTAGCTGTAATTGCTGGTTTAGAAACAAACAAGCAGTTGCAAACAAAACTGAACGACGCTGAAGATAGAATTAAAGAACTGGAAGCTGCATTGCAAACTGAAGAAAAAACGGGCAAAGTTGATCGCAGTTCTCTTACAGGTAAAACCATAAAAGGATTATATATACAGTTTATACTCATTTCAGCTCTCGTTTTCTTCTATTCCTAATCACTTCTTATTTTGATATACTTACATTGTAGTAGCCAAATCGACATCACTTTGCCACAAGATTTGTAGGGTGTCTAAGAATCGTTATTAGTCTTTGAGAAATAACATTTTTTAAATTTAATTCGCTGTGTTTATATTAATACATATTTTCAGATTAATTCATTCTTTAGAATTCTCTTTTCTAAGTACAGTTTAAAAATGTATTCTGCTTTAGACGGAAGTGCAACCCAGCAAGCAGACATTGCTCCTGCAGAAGATGTGACAGCTAAAGCGGATGACCCTGTTTCGCCAACTGAAGAACCTCCTAGCTCAGAAACTCAAGACAATGCTGACGTTGAGCAATAACGATAAACGCTAACTTAAACTTCCCAGATAATTAAATTAGAATTTTTTCTTTGTGCATATGGAGTTTGCAAACCTTGATAAGATTAGTGAGCACAGCACATTCATTATCATTTATTATTTCAACTTGAATTGAATTTAAAATGTGGAAAACATGAAAAGCATTTAATAAAAGTTATCGCAGGGGCAAAATTCTTCAATTTCAAAAAATATTTAATCTAGAAAGACGTTTTAGTTTTGCTTGCTTGCAAATTCTTGTCGAGTCGGTAAGAATTTATATTATCAGTTATTCTATTGACGTGAATTTATGTCGTCATGTAACATGTTTTGAAACACTATTACACACTGGTAAGTTGAACACTAGGTTTCTGAGCTCCTTTCATGATATAAGTCGACATCTTAGCATAACTTAAAAAAAAACTTCAGTAGAACTCTACGAAATATGAGGTCTGTTTTGTGAAATTAAATGGTCGCAATTAAAGGACCTCAGAGCCTACTTACAATCGCCCATTACAAAAGCCTTTAATAATTAAAGAAAACATTCACATTCCAAGTATTATGCCAACACATTCTTAAATGCTGTCTAAAGTTGTGTAATTTATTATAGGTGCTTTCGTACTTAAATCGAATTTAATATTTAAATGTTCTCATTTTAAAGCCTTTGACACTAAATCGAGAAATGTACATTGACCAACCTGAAACTTTACTTTTAGCGAAACACCACATGATTGTATTAGCTATTTTCTTGTAGTACCAAACTGATGTAATGTTAAACACGATTAAATTAAAGGTTTCAAGAATGTTTATGTGAAATATTAATTCAAGATCAGTTTTGCGGGAACAGTTCCAGTTCATAAATATTTTTATATTTTTATTTGTATCCGCTCAAAGTGTGATACTTTTTAGTACCTGTTAGATTTATTGTTGTTTGTTTTTAATCAAACAAGTCCGTTTGATTAATTTTCATTATTTTTATATTATATATTTATTTACCGCTTTAATTATTCATTTACTGTTGTATCAATTGTATAGAAAAATATTAAGTTTATTTTTTCAATTTGAACGAATTTGTTATTTTTGTTGACTAGGTATTCGGAAGGGCACACTATTTTTAATCTATATAAAGTTTATTTGAAAAGAGTTGTTTTTTAATACCAAATTTATCAGAATGCCATACTCATTCATAGGGGTAATCCAGATTTCTAGATAAGTTTGACGTGCCACGTATTTTTGGGTAAGCACGTTTAAAACGGATTTACATAAAAATGAATTACCCTCGATTAGCTGCAAATTTAGTATACAACTGTTTGTTCTCAGATTGAATAAGAAACTACTGGACTAGCGGATACATTTTAACCAGTGCCTGTACAAAGAAGATAAAAAAGTTTAAATTGCAAAGGTTTTCTGCTTTGTCCTCTCTGGATTTTCTTCAAACGGGTGATATTTTTGCATCAACGATTGATACAAAAAACGAGTAAAATTACAATTTTTTGTCAATATCTTTTTGGGAACTTTCACCGTTCGTCGTGCCATTTGAGGCCACAGTTTTATACGTTTTACGTCCAAAGGCACGTTTATAAATGTTTTTTTCCTGGTGTAGACACCGTATTACTGCTGCATTCCAGCACCATACAATATTTATAAGCCATGTTCCTCAAATCACCAACTAAGCCCCACTAAGCACCCATTAAAGCTGGTTTGAATAAAAAAAACACCGTCTCTGAAGAAATCTCACTACACTCGTATGGCTTGCAGAAAACGGTCGGCTGTTACCGAGTCCCAGTCTGGTCGGAACTTAAATGTTTAACCTTCCACTGTTAAAGCAAGAATTGAAGCTCTTGTTTGGACTAGACTGTTTCAAGCTGAATGGTAAAACTACTGAAAGGCAGCTCAGATACTGCTAAACATATGTAGAATGCCTATAAAAACCATTGCGGATACCTTTACTGGACTCCGGGAAAGCTCCAACTACACAACTTCAGACGTACTGTTGCGAAGTGTAGGAACTGTGGCAAGATGGAAGATGCTGCTTATTATATTGTAGTATATTCTCCCTTATTGTAGGGCTCGCATAATAGTTTTTTTTTCGGTGAGGGGCAAAAAATGCTATCAATTTCTTTATGAATCGTTCCTAGTTTCCTCTTTTACGAGTCAAATGGGTGAAAACAACAATGCAATTTATAAAAAATACGAACTGCATTCACAGACGTACGTAAATTCAAATAATTTTTCTGGTAAAATTTATGTTAGCAGTTTTGTCTAGTTCTCGCCTGTTACATCAGTAAAAATATTTTATATATACTTTCCATTGAAAAGCAACATTTTAAAATGATCTGCTGATATTTTCATGTACAATAATAAGTTTTGACTGTGCAAAATATATCAAATTATATTAAGTAGTAAGTAAGTAAGCAAGCAAACGGTCAAAACTATTTTAGGTGTATACCGAAAACATATGCCTCAACATTGTGAAAATCCATTCATATGCTCGGTTACCGATAGAGAAAAAGTACAATTTCACAAAATATTAAAGCGACTGTTGTTACAGTGTACACTTATGCAATCGTCCCGGTACACTAAGTTAGTCAAAGATCAAAGAACTTAAGAACGAAACTAAATTCACTTTAATGCACACATTATTATTTTGATGCTGCTTTGGCTGCTTGTCTCCTTTTAACATCCCAATTAAATACTCTTGCCATATTGACTTCTGTGGTTGTAAACTGATCCCTAAAAATATTGGAAAGTGATATATTTATTTATATTAATTGCTTCTTAAAGAACCCTACCTAAGAAAATCCAAGTCCTGGTTAACAAATTCCAAATTGGTTTCAGCAGCAGCTATATTTTGAGTCAAAAGTTTCTTGGCATCTTCCAAGGTATACTCCAACATTACATTAGCCCCGAGCCACAAACATACATTTTGAGTCGGAGGTACTTTCGCTCTGGCAAGGACCTGTTCACTCAGTAGAAATTGGGTATCAAACTCTTCTGTTTGCTTTCCCAATTTTTCGATCACTGTCATTGATCTTTTCAGTTCAGGAACTTGGCTTTGCAATCGTGTTTTCTTAGCTATAAGGTTGTATTCCATAAACTTATACTTTGCATGTTGACCGTCCAGTTTTTTTAGCACTTCATCGACATGGCTGTTGTTTTCTGGCCGAGCCATGTATGCATCCACATCTTCCTATAACGAATAAAACACCCAATTTAACATTGTTTTGTTTTCCCGAGTAAGAAAAACGCACGAAATATAAAACGTTATAAGACTAGAGTACAGACAATGTTCTGATGTAAAATGAATGGTTAGAACAGAACGGTTGTGCGCCAAACGCAACTTGGGCATAATTCAATTTTACATTAGTATTTCATAAGTTATTATGTAACGGATATATAAAAAGCTTCAGGCTTTTCATCACGTACTCTAGGTACTAGTCTAGTGAAATAATTGTTTGAAGATATTTAGGCAGCGCAGAAGTAATAGAAACACATAATTTTCACAAAAAAAACTGAGATATGCGGAAGAAACTGACTCATAAATTTGGTCACAATTAGGGATGGTCGGTATTTAACGTAACCGCTAAAATAACAGTGTTCCAAACGTGTAACCTGAAACCGTAGTTACAGCTAGCCGATTTAATCGGTTTTTTTGGAACCGTCTCATAAAATCGAAATAGCGGTGCGCATTTCGGACACCGTCGAGCGATCTATCCAGCTGCAGCCATTTGCCGACTTAAGCCGTTCTTTTTGGAACCGTCTCATAAAACAGAAACAGTTGTGCGCACTTCGCACCAGCTGCAGCCGTTTGCCAATTTAAACCGTTGTTTTTGGAACCGTCTCATAAACCTGAAAAAGTGGTTCGCGTCAGCACAGAACCGTTGCGGCATCACCAAGCGCTCTATCTCGTTGCAGCAGTTTCAGTAACCATTTGTCAACGCAAAATATGTTGTATGTAGTTGCGCGTTGCCTTGATGATTGTGTATCACTTTTCGTTGTTAAGAATTACTGTTCAGTTTTCTAGGAACCAGCGAAAATTTGTTTAGTTGCTGCGATGATATAATTCAGCATTTTTAGTCTATAAGTATTCAGTTTTCTGACATTCCGTAATAAATCTTAAAAAGGGATTTCTCTCCAGAAACAACTCGGGAGTTAAATCCGCATTACCAGCCCAACTAAGCAGAATGTGCACTTGCATATGAGATATGATCAAACTAAGAGTATAAGACATAAATTCCATAACAGTTGAAATGTAAAATAACTAACATTTTAAGCAGAATGTGCACCTGCATTTAAGCAAGCTGCCCATTTTCAAATAGAGATTCAGTCAGAGATGAAATGAAAGTTATTTGAATAGGAATAAACATTGTAAGGTCGACATATTTTTTTTTAATTATTTTTTGGTGGTACCAAAATGAACTCGAGTAATACTTCGTCCAGGTTTGCCAAACACGCATTTCTGTTTGTTGTTATTGTGGATTATTTAATGTTATTGTGAAACGCGAGTGAAAGTGCGAGAGATTATTTTCTAAAGCGGACGCTATCATAAACGCGCGAAGACCTAGACTCAGTAAAAAGCATCTGCAAAAATTTTTATTCTTAAATGTTAAATCATTTTTAAATGAAAATTTAACTTTTTACTGGTGAAACTTTAAATTAATTATTCTAATCTAATAAAAGACAGAGTTTTTACAGGTTTGTTCAATTTCACAATATTAGTTATCCTAGTTTACAAAAACGTTTGCGTCTTATATTGCAGTTGATGTTTAAGGAAATTTCCTCTCACTCTTCCTAAAACCATTTCCCGAAACAGAGTTTGCTGTTAACACAAAAGTCCCTAATATCTCGAAAACGGGGTAAACTTTGCGTATAGATAAAATATTAAGGTTCTATAAATCTATAAACAAATACTTTGCTTTTTTAAAAATCGGTATACAGAGTGAGCCAGGCCCAACACTGCGGGGGGATATGCAGCCGAGTTGCACCTGATTAGACTTCAGGCCACAGAAAACAAGCTTGAGTGGATGGCCATAGATGCGCCCTGGTTTGTTAGAAACTCCCAAATCTACAGGGACCTGGAGTGGAAGCCACTAAGAGAGAAGAATGCTGCAGCGGTCTTCGAGAAAGCTGGAAGGCACTCCAACGAAGCGGTACGAAATGTGGTGAATTACACACCTGAAGACCTGGGACCCAGGGAAAAAGGCCCAGAGACCAATTGGCCCACTAGGGCAACAGGTAGAAAACAGCGTAAGCTGGGAGTGTGCTATCCTAAGCAGGGATTCATGCAAGCAGCTAGCATGGAGAATGCGATGTTATGGCATACTGATGCCGGAACTGACATATTCTTAGATAGGACTACAAAAATGTTTTTTTTAGTTGGTAAGAATCCAACACTATCCAGGGTATCAGCACACTGGGTGTCTTCGTGAAGCTTTTTTATTACCAGCCGGGCAAACAAAAAAAATCTGTTTAGGGACAACACTGAAAATTGAAAAAGTTGAATTGACTGAAACAATATATTTTAACTTGAAACTTTAACATAAAGCAGATAGCAGGGGTTCGTCAATACGAAAACTAAAAAATGTACGACTGTAGTTGATTTTTCGCAGAAGCAAGTCTCTGTCATACCATTTTTGGTCAACACAAGGAGCAATTTAACTATAGCTTAAGTAGTAGTGACAAAAAACGAACCAATGGATTACATGATAGGACTAATTAGAAAAGCCCTCAAACTTCTCGTGAAATAGAAAATAATATATATGTAGGTAGGTATTAGTTTGGCATAGTCCTAAAACCTGATTGAAATAGGCTACTTACAACAAATTCAGCTTTAGGTATACCGGCATAGGATGTTTTAGTTCCTAAGCTATTTGAATCCTTCTGGGTTTCCATGTCGCAATTGAAAACTTTTCACAGTTTCTTAAAAGGTAACCAGTTGGAATTTTGGTGCCGCTCGTGAATTTCGACTGAAATCTTAACCTAAAAAATGTCTTCATACCTGTTCATACGTTTTTGTCTCAACATTTCTGACAAGGATACCATGAATATTTTGAAAGAAGAAGAAAACATAAACATTTTATTTTCATCTTAACCAATTTTCAACAAAAAACATTAGTCTTGTACATAAAACATTTTAAATGTTCAGTAGTGGTGCATAATGTTGTTTTCAGCAGAATTAACAGATGTTAAAGTAGTATACAATGTTTTAAAATCTATCTCCATTAAAGAAGCAAGTATTTATCTATGTATAGTATTTATATTGATATATGTTCCAATGTTCGGATATGGTGAACCTGTATAAATAAAAACAGATTTACAATAGTCAGAGTTCACCTACAGTGAAAAAACACATTTTAATTTTACAATATATTTTGCTTATATTTCTTACAATGATTTGGCATTTTATTTAAGTTTAATTAGAAAAATCATAAAACTAACAATAAATTCTACTCTGACAGTTACTTAGGTAATTAAAACAGACAACGAACGTCACTATGGGGAAATTGAAGAGAAATATCAATGCCTACTACCATAAAATCTTAATTTTGTGAATTTTAATTATTTATCTTGACCGAACATAAACATGTTATACATGGTTGAAGAGCATATTTAAAGAGGAATCTAAAAATGCAGAAATTCAATATGGCGCCCATAACAAAAACAAAAGTTGACTTAGGCCTCATTGAACATAGTGGGCGTAGATTATTTTTTACTTTATTTTCAAATTCACGCTCATTTCCTACCCCCACCCTGAAAAACACGATATAAAGGATTGTATAAGACGCACTTTTTTCTTTTTTCCCTGTATATCCGTTGCTATTCCGAGTTCAAAGAAGTTGATGACAGATTATTTATAGGCACTTGATTGCTCAACTTTTTGCCCATTTGGTCCACTCTGTATCTGTAAGGGTTTCCAATGTCCCCATGTACATCATTTTATACTGGACACACTGTATACTTGTTTAAAAGTGTATTAAGTATTAATTATTGGTAACTATAAAAAAAAACATTTTTAAAAAATTATAATTTGAACATCATCATCATTTGAACATCATAAAATTTTTTTATGAAAAAAATTACGATTTTCTTTGCAATTTTTTTTTCTTTACAAGACTCGGATCATTTATTAAAATGTCGTGAAATATTTCACACACATGTGATATTAATTTTAAAGTTTTACTGTGACATTTTTAAAAACCGGCGGGACGCTGGACTGTCCACCAAAAAGCGGGACTGTCCGGCCAAAATCGGGACGTGCGGTCACTTTATATTAAAGTCTTCATACACTGACATTGCTTTAAAAAAAAAATGGTAACTTTTTTAGACTAATATTTTGTACAGTTGCTATTGGCTCTAGTGATGGCAGTAAGCCTTTTCTGAAGACTTAATACAAATTTTCTTGTAACTTCTGAAGGAAGGCTTTCTCACTCTTGTCTTACTCTATTTTATTAACTATTAATTTTTAATAGCACATAGTGCAACATTAACATTACATAATAGCAATACTAAAAATAACACTTTCCCAAAACTGTTTGGTTGTGTTAACATGTTGGTCAAATCTTCTCGCTACGCTCCCCGTATAAACTTATTACCCGATCGATGAGAGAGTTTCTTGTTGATTGAGGACCAACAGTTTTTGAGAACACTTCCGTGATTTCTTCTGCAATTCTTGGAGCACTTATTTTATAATTACGTCTAATCTTGCTCTCTCTCGTGCGGTTAAATTCCAGGGACTACCAGAGCAAAGCCGCTCTTTATAGGAACCGGTAGATTTGTACGGATTTGCTACATTATTTACAGTGGCATGTGATTATCCAATTATATTACCAATATTTCTAAACAATTCTTTCTTCTTCCACAAATCTACGATGATTTTTCTAACGGAAATAGCAATTTTGCATTTATCAGCAGTCAATTTTGGTCTACTGCAAAAACTCAGAATTTTTAATGTTACGTTTCTAAAAAAATACGATTCGCTTGTATCAGGCGAAATTTAACAAGCCATCTTGATAAACTGTGCTAAGAATTACTCATGTCGTTTGGGAAATAATGCTGAATAGCCTTCTTTTACTGAAGTGTATGGAGACTTTTGTATATACTTTCTCGATCCTAATTCTACTTTTATTATTCAAATAAAGTGTTTCAAATTACTTTACCTTCAATTTTATTACTTCGAAGCAAAGTGCCGATATGATACTTGACATATTTTTCTAATTTGAGAAATTTGAGAACAGCAAACTAAGAAAGAATACAAAAAAATTACTGGCGTGTGGAGACTTTTTACACACTGGACATGGATATGGTACTTAATCTCAAATGCCAAATTCGTCGAAATACATATCAGTTTCACATATCACAGGGTCATATGCTCAAAAACAAATGACCAGTTGCAAACAATTTATTCTGTTTGGGAGTCGGTCTAAATCAGACATTAATAAATAGACAAAGCTATTTATTCATAAATCTCGATTTGTTTGGGAGCAACATTGAATTCTATCGATCGGCGATTTATCAATGAAAAACAAGTGATAGGGATAAAAATACTAAAAGTAGATAGCGATCAATAGATTGAAAAAGACTAGAATTAACCCGAAAAGCAACTCGCCTGGATTTCGATTTTAATGTTTTTATTTATTTATTTGTTTTGAAATTTATAGTAGCAATAAAGTCCGTTATGTTCTTTTTCTATAGCTTTTTGTTTCATTTCAGACTACTTTCATTTGTCGCTATTTAAATTTTTTAAAACATAATACAGACAAACCCGCTAATACAAATCTAGGCAATACATATTTCTGAGATCGGGAAAAAATACAATTGACTTGTCTAAAAATATATAGGGTGTTTCCCCCAAATTTTGACGTTTCCGTGTTTTATATTTTTATTTTAAATTCAGATTTAAAAAAATTTAGTAAAATTTAGTTTTGTGTTGGTCACTTTTACAAATTTTTTTCAAATAAATGATCTAGGGAGGTGTTAACTTATGAGGAAACACCCTGTACACGACGGTCCACTTTAATGCAAGCAAGTACAACAGTCGATACAAAAACTTATTCTAAAAAGGAAGCTTCATTTCATATTAACATTAATAAAAAATATCATAGATGTCTGTCTTATATGATGATGTTAAAACCACAAAAGTTAAAATTAAAAACAGCAAATCTTCAAGACTTCTGAGTTGCTCCACTGTGGATTTCTTTCACAAAGATTTTGATAGACATTTCTTTGAATGTACAGTTTATTCTGGAAAATATACCTAACTGTTTATTTTAAAATACACACAGCGCATATTGTTACCTGGGCTTGCAATAAAACCGGTTACTACAAATGATGTATTTTTTAAAGCGTATGGTTTAAAACATTTGAGATCAGGCCACTTTGTAAAAAAAATATACACCCAGGATATGCCATGAATATACCATTATACTAAACAATTTATTGACGAATTGAAGCGGTTTCATCAAATGTAAATGTTTCTGGTGAAATTCTCATTTCAACTCAAACTTTGAATCAAACTCAACTCAAAGTTTGATTCATGTTTAATTTATAACAAATTCATACTTTATCTGTTTAATTTAGTTATTATTTAAATTCCACCAACATAATAAGAAAGTCATTAATAATGCATTTGATTCTCATAAACAACTTATTTCAGTTTGCAATTTTTCGTCCAGTAGAAGAAGGCCTCAAAGTGACTTTAGATGAAATGAGGTGCATGGAAACTTCAGCTTACATTCCACGTGAAATGTTTACAATGTACCATGTAACAGAGTCTGACAACAATATATTTAAAGTAAACTTAAAAACACTTACTGATATACTAAACATTTTTGGAGACGACAGTCATCCCAATTTAAAACTCACTTTTAAATCGGTTGGATCGCCATTGCGTTTAGTGTAAGTTTTGAAGACATTTTGGTCATTAATGATTCAATCTCGCTGTATATGGAATACAGTATATAATTTGATCAAACAATTATACCGATTTATGGGACCATTTTTAGAATGAATCATAGTGAAGAAAATATAACTGTCGACTGTGAAATAAAAACGATGAACACTGATGAATTTCAGAATCCCAGCTTGTCAGAAGAATGCAATTTAAACAAAATTGTGGTTTTGGCAAATGTTTTCGTTGAGCTTTTGCAGAGGCTAGATAATTCATCCGATGATTTGAAAGTTACATTTAGTCCAGAATTTCCATATTTTACTCTAAAAAGCACCAGTTTATCGGTAAGAAAATAGCAATTTTATTTTGTGTAAACATTTTCACCATTTCTATTTTTGCTTTAAAAAAATTAATACTGACACATTTCATTGGTCATTTTATAATTTTCAAAAATCTGGTTTAAATATTGTCTAATAAATAATTAATAAATAAAATAAAAAAATAATTTAATGAAATCTGGTCTCAATAAAATTAGGTATTTTTTTGTAAACAATTAATCATTAACTCCATTCTAAAGCAAATGTAATTCGCTCTCATAAAATATTTTGATAAAATGCTGTTACTATTTCGAGTAACTCCGACTGTTTAATCCTGATTTTTAAAGTACCACTAAGTATAAGTACATGTATTTTTTTTAGGGATCTTCCGAAGTAAGTTTAAATAAGCATTCGGACTCTGTAACGATCTATCAATGCAAAGAAAAGACTGATTTTACTTACGCTTTTTCCAATATCAGGCATATTATTAAAGTCATGCATTACGCTAATAAAGTATCTGTATCCACTGGTGGATCTGGACTCTTAGGTTTTCAGTTGGTTATCACATCCGATGACAAGCAAATGTATGTAGAATATTATGTAACACCATTGTTTATGGGAGACGATTGAAAAATATACGAATTTTGCAATTTTTTACTCATTTTATATTTGCTCCTATTGCCTCACTTATGCTCTTATATCCGTCTTTTTGAAGCAATTCTTCTAGCTCGGATTTAATTTTGCTAACCAATGGGGGACCTTCATAGACCAAAGATGAATAAATTTGCACGAGGCTCGCACCAGCTTTAATTTTTTCATAAGCATCTTGCCCGGTGGCTATCCCACCTACACCTGAAAACAATCCATATGACCAAATTTGCCGTAAAATTCCCAATTTGCTAACCGATTATAGTCATTCCTTTTGTAAGTTTTCTCATTTCCATTATCATTTGTGTCGAGGATTCTTTTAATGGGGCGCCGCTTAATCCGCCTACCTCATTACTATGTTTACTTTTCAATGATGGTCGCTCTATTGTTGTATTGCACACAATAAGCCCATCCACCTGTTTGATTATTTATCACATAAGTTAATGATTTAAATGCTTTTATAGTGTTGCAAAACATATAGTTGTAGTTCTTGTCAGTGTTACTCAATATCATACCTTACATTCATTTAATTTTATAATATCTGAAATGTCTTTCTTTTCCTCAGAGCTCAAATCGGGGGCTAATTTCAGTAACAATGGAGGTTTAGGATTTACATTTAAAGTATTTCTGGCTTCAACGACCGCCCTTAACAAATGCTTTAAATTGTCTTTGTTTTGCAATTTTCTCAAATTTGGGGTGTTGGGGCTGAAACAGTAAGAGAGTGAAATATTTTCGAGGTGATATCTTCATATTTGACGCAATTGTAAGACATCTACCTACCTACTAATATTAACAACCAAATAATCGCATACGCTACCAAAGGTGTTGATTCCGTCCACATAGTCTTTAACTGGATCATCAGATGTTTTGTTTTTTCCTAAATTAACTCCAATAAGGGGGACTTCTGGATCAGCTTTTGCATTGGTAATTCGAGTGCGTACTTCATCATGCCCATCACTATTAAAACCATATCTGCGAAGCACAATTTACTTAGGAAGTAGGAAAATACACCTTTAATCACGATAGACAGAAACACGGTATGCCAATTATTGGTCTCGCAGACGAACCGCACGATATTTATGCATATTGTGAAATGAACCAGCAAGAAACCATACCATTAACAGTGATTTCATATTAAATAATTGTGTAATAAATAAACATTACTTTCAACGTGTATTAAATATATTTATTTAATACACTTCGACTAAAGCACATGTCCCATGCATCCGTTTATACGATGGTACGATGATACGAAAGTGTTTCTATTGGTTGGAGATCTGTCAGTTCGTACGACGACGGACTCTGTTCCATTCAACACTTTCGTATCATCGTTTCATCGTACAAACGGATACATATAGGCCATGGGCTTTACTGATGAAATGTTATCAAGTACTGTCGCAAAGGCAATTCGGTACTGTGATTTAATGCACAAAAACCCGAGTAGCCATTGGGGTAAGGCTGCTGAAGTTGTTCAATTGTATAACGACTGGTTTGATTTGTTGAATTCGAGCTCAAAATATTATAAAAGGGATCCAGGAGAAAATGCTATTGGTACTGATAGTACTAATCAGAAACGATTGCTTGATAGAAAGTCGAAACTCACAAATCCCATGAGGGTTGGTTAGAAACCACCAGGAGATTTTACCTTTTTGCAAAGGAATATTGTACACTAACAGATCTTTGGCACATATGTTTGAACATGTATGTGAAAAGTACAGTGTAGAGTATATTTTAACATCTCGTCTTAACCAAGATGTTCTCGAATATTTTTTCTCGACTCGGTCATTCGTGATATAATTATAAAGAATGATTAAAAAATTTATGTTCATTCATATTTATGTTAAAAAATTTAGAAATGGAAAGTAGTAGCAAACCAAACCCGGAAAACCACCAAATGAAGTATCGTCTAACAGGCCACTCCCTTTGCTGCCTGTAATTACAAAACTATTCGAAAAAATACTTCCTAAAAGACTAAAACCAATTATTGAAGAAAAAAATATAATCTCAGGCCATCAGTTTGGCTTCAGAGATACACTCAAGGTCCACCGGATCACAGATATAATTGAAAAGTAATTGCAGAAAAGAAAAGTGTGACACGATGAACTTTACCATAAATTTAAAAAATCTCTTGCCTCACAAGTTCTCAGAATTATTATATATAAAAAGAAGTCTTATATTACAGAGCGAGCTTTCAGAATTAAACAAGAACACGCTTACTCCGAACTTAAAGAATCAATACAAATTAAGACAAGCGTGCCACAAGGTAGTGTGAATTAGAGCATGGCCCTATAGCCACCTTTGCTGATGACATATTGTGAGTGCAGTAGTGGTAGTACTAAGTAAGTAATTGTGTTACGAAAATTTATTAGACATATTATGTATATCAAACATACAAAAACACAAACTCGTGTATGATAATTCTTACAATACCGGTATAATTTTGCTTCGCACGTTACGTCGCGGCCAGCTACAGCCGCTCTCTCAGGCGCTTTGGCATATTGTGTTTAGGTGTATCGTGCATTTAATAAAATATTTTTAATACGTGATGGAAGATAAAATAGTTTGGGTTCTCATTGCACAAATATGTATACCTATTAATAATAGCCATATCTAGTGGTAAACGGAACACTCTGGGCTTTTCATTCCCAGGTTGTGGATGCGGAGTAACTGATCCTATTTCAACAAAGCCAAACCCAATGTCTTTTAAGCCCATTATAGCTTTGCCGTCTTTGTCGAAACCAGCAGCTATGCCTATGGGATTGGGAAATTCTTTCCCAAAAACTGTTACTTTCTAAAATAAAACGATTTGTACAAATGTATTTAAGTAAATGTTTACTAAAGTATTCGATTTTGTCAGGTTGTTCTAAATTTTAGACCTTAGCTATTCTGCACAAATCAGTAATATATGTATGTATGGTACGTTTCACGGACTTCCACGTTTAAAAAAATGTATAACATTTACAATTGTAACAGTAATCGTGATATCCAGCAAGCTATAGTTGAGTTTTATAAAATGAAGCCTACAACACAATTACTCTTGATATTAGCATTAGACGAAGAAGTATGTATTTTAAAATAATTTGTTCAAACTTCAGACAGTTAGTGCTAAAGCACACTAAGTTTGTGCTACGAGAACTTGTAGCAGTCGTTTTTAATTAAGTACTAAGATTGTAAATTAAGCAAAGTTCTACAATAGTGCATGCACATGATTTTGTTAAAAAAATTATTCAAAATTTACGGTATTGGCAAGGAAAATACTAAATAAGATTAATTGTTTTCAGGATCTGAGATAGTTAAAACAAACAAGATGAGACGGCCGGCAACAATGTTTTTCAAGGTAATCTGCCTCACTCAAATTACGTAAATACTGCTTTTCAGCAGGAAAGCCCTTTTCTGAAAAGGAAATGCTACTACTACTGTTTCACTCTTACTGACTTTTTTGAAAAACTCACTTTTATAGGAAATTTCTGGAAGTTTCCATGATTTTTCCAGTTACTATGGCCAGTCAACGGACCGTTGGTAAACACAAGCTTTTCAAAAATTCGTCAAAGTAAAACCAAAAATCCCTCAATCCGGCTCATAATATCACTCGAAAGAGAAAATGCGCTGCTTGATAG